AAAAAAAAAAAAAAAAAAAAAAAAAAAAAAAAAAAAAAAAAAAAAGAACAAGGAATAGAGACTTGAAGATGAGAGAGTAAGCTTGTGCTTGTCGGGAGGAAGCAGGTTCCAAGCCCAGAGAACAGCACTGTAAAGGCCCAGAGGTGCCTAGATGCCTGGACTCAGAAGGGATCAGATATTGTGGCATGGGAAACCTCAGGACTATTAGAAGGGTATGACGTCTTGGTGCAGTGGTGCACAGCTGTACCCCCAGCATGCAGGGAGGCCAAGGCAGGAGGATTCCAAGTTTGAACCCAATTTAGTGATTTAGCAAGAGCTTGTCTTAAAAATAAAGGATGGGGCTGAGGAGATAGCTCTGAGGCATAAGCACAGAATGGCTCATGCCTGTAATCCCAGTAATCAGGAGGTTGAGACAGGAGGATTGCTGGGAGTTTGAGACCCATGGTGGAGGCTACAAAAAGTAAGCATAAGGGCCAGCCCCAAACTGTGTAGTGATGCCCTGCTCAATAAATAAAATAAAAAAGTAAGAAAAGGAGATGTAGCTTAGTCCAAAAGTCTTGGGTTCAATTCCTGCTAGAGAAAGAGAAAGAGACATACGTAGAAAGAGAGAAGGAGAGAGAGAGACAGAAGGAGACAGAAGGGGGAGAGAGACAGACACAGAGACTGTGACTTTACTCTGGACAGAGGAGTCATGGGCCTGTCTGTTTCCACCAGCCGTGCTGTGGACTGTAACTGCGGAGTGGTCACATAAACCATCTTGATCACAAGGTTTGTGTTCTGCTCTCCTCGAAGTTAGGCTTCCAGGGAGGAAGTTGAAGGAGTGTTTGTTGTGAGGCCAGGGGGGAGGCGACTGGAGGGAGAGCAGGGGTGGGTGGGGAAAGATAGTGCTGTAGATGGGAAACACCACTAGATGGCAAAAGAGAATCAAGAAGGCCACACAGGCAGGGGCTGTCCCTCTGTGGGCGGCCCTGACTGTGGGGACAGTCCTTTATTTCTTTGTTAAGGTGCTTACCCTTTAAGGCTGACCTTCTAGACAGAGTATCATTACCCTGCTGCTGTAGAAACCCTTAGGCTTAGGGATAAAATCCACATTTTAAAGCAGATCAAATGCAGATCAACTCAGGCCAGATGAGCCCTGGGGTGCAGGCTGGGGAGGGAGGAGGGGCAGGAGGCTTCGAGCTCATTTGCATTCCTAGCCCAGGCTCCTTGCCATTTCCCATTCTCCTGGAGTGAGAAGTTTCCAACTCACAAACTGAACTGCCCCGGCGCTTGTGTTCTGTCCTTATAATCATCTTGCTTTGCTTTGCAGCTCCATTATGCTGGCCGCTGCAGAAGGCTGCTTAGTGCTGCCTGCAGATGAAATGCACAGGCCTTGCCCCGCTGGGGTCAGCGAAGGGGAGAGAAAGCTGACATTTGCATATGAAGCTTGAAGTGGAAGATTTGACCCTAACATCTGTGCAATTTAGGCTGAAACCTTTGGCCACAATTATTTGCATAAGGAAAGTAATTGTATGTGTTTATCTGCCTAAAGTATCCACAAGTTCTGCTTCTCTTTGCACTTGGTAGGATAATTTTACTCTTCTTCCTTCACTCCGTTTGTGGGCAAAAGGAAAAGATGGAGGCAGGAGACAGAGTTAGGAAGAACAAAAGGACCTCCGGCCAAGGACTGGTGGGGCGCCCTGCAGAAGGAGACAGTACACGGAGAAGAAAGGCAAAGGCAAAATGGTGGGAGAGAAGATGCGAGGGCAGGCAGCACGACCTCCACCGGGCTTCCTTCTGCCTCTGCTGCCACCACACCCGTCAGTCCAGCCTCTCCTAGGCTGCTGCTTGGGTGCATGTGTGCGTGCATGCGTGTGTGTGTGTGTGTGTGTGTGTGTGCGCGCGCGCGCGTTTTAGGTAGGGAACGGGTGCTGTGAAAATCC